TGGTGGTAGTCAGATATAGAAGTTTTCTAACAAGCCTTCGATAAGCTGTGACGTCTTCGAAAGGTGGTGAGTTATCATCATGAAGCTTTAAGGAGGAATCGAAGGGAGTAGAGCAAGGTTTAGTAGCCAATAAGCCACTGTCTTCGAGTAATTCCAAAGCGTACTTTCTCTGATTGAGAAAAATGCCGTGAGTGGATCTGGTAACTTCTAGACCAAGAAAATATTTTAGCCTACCAAGGTCCCTGATTTTGAAAGTGGAATCAAGGAAGCATTTGACATATTTGATTTCCTGCAAATCATTACCGGCTAAGACAATATCATCAATATAGACTAATAAAACAGTAAAAGAAGAGTCATGTGATTTTGTGAAAAAGGAATGATCAGTAGAAGAATATGAGTAGCCAAGAGAGATAAGGGCAGTGGATAATTTCAAAAACCACTGTCTGCTGCCTGCTTCATGCCATATAGTGACTTATGTAGTTTGCAAACTTTGTTGGTCGAAGAAGTGCCAACTTCGTTGGTCGAAGAAGTGCTAACTTCGTTGCTCGAAGAGGTGCAAACTTCGTTGGTCGAAGGAGTGCAAACTTTGTTGGTCGAAGGAATGCAAACTTTGTTGGTCGAAGAAGTGCAGAATTCGTTGCTCGAAGTGCAAACTTTGTTGGTTGAAGAATTGTAGACTTCGTTGGCCGAAGAAGCAAGAAGCATGAATCCAGGAGGCAGATCCATATACACTTCCTCATGTAGATCACCATGAAGGAAGGCATTGTTGACGTCAAGTTGTTCCAAGTGCCAATTCTTAATGGCAGCCACTGAGAGAAGGGTTCGAATTGAAGTAAGCTTCGCAACAGGTGAGAAAGTGTCGAAATAATCCACCCCCTCCAGCTGAGTATATCCTTTCGCTACTAAACGTGCCTTATATCGTTCGATGGATCCATCAGCATGATGCTTGATTTTGTAGACCCATTTACAACCAATCGATTGTTTGCCTGCAGGAAAATCAACAATAGACCAAGTATTTGTAGATTCAAGAGCATCTAACTCAGATTTCATAGCATTGTTCCAACAATCAAATTTGCAGTCTTGTTTATAGGTTTTTGGTTCTGTGAAAGAACTTATGGATAAACAAAATAATTTGTGATCAGGACTAAATTGGTTATAAGATAATACAGAAGAGAGAGGGTAGTTAGAGGAACCTGAGTCAGATGCTGGCAGCATGAGGGATAGCAAATTGCAGTGATAATCTGAAAGATAAGTTGGAGGTTTACTATTTCGATTGGATTTTCTGGTTGGCACAGAAGGGGAGGGGCAAGGGGAGTTGTTAGTGTCATTCGAGGAAGAAGTGGGAGATTCTGGCTGGGGGAGAGAGGTAGGAGAGGAAGGTTCATCTGATGGTGGAGGTAAGTTGGGTGGAATGTTGGTGAAAATATCAGGTGAATCAATCGAAGGAGGGTCAGGAGTAGGAATTATAGGATTAGGTGCAGGTGGGATGGATACAAAAGGGAACACAGTTTCATAAAAGAATACATTCCTTGAAATGTAAAATTCATGTGTGATAGGATCATAGAGAAGGTAGCCTTTTGTGCCTTCCCTGTAGCCAAGGAAAATAGATTTCCTTGCTCTTGGTTCGAATTTAGTGCGATGGTTAAGCAAGGTCGAAGAATAGGCAAGACAACCAAAGACTCTCATATGGCTAAGGCTGGGAGGAATAGAATGGAGTTTTTGGTATGGAGAGTGGTTGTTTAAAAGAGGAGTGGGAAGACGGTTTATAATATGAATGGCATGTTGTATGGAAAGGTGCCAAAGGTTGTGAGGGAGGTGAGAGTGGAAAGAGAGGGCACTGACAACATTCAAAATGTGTTGATGTTTTCTTTCCATGATACCATTCTGTTGAGGCGTTTCCACACAAGACCTTTGATGAATGATTCCTTTAGAAAGGTAGAAAGTGGTCATAAGAAACTCAGGGCCATTATCACTTCGAATGCACTTGAGTTTCTTGTTAAATTGGTTTTCGATAAAGGAAATGAAGTGAATTAAATGGTTTATGGTTTCACTTTTGTTGGCCATAAAAATTGTCCAAGTAAATCTGTTGTAATCGTCTACGAGGGTTAAAAAATACTTGTGGCCACATATCGAAGGTGTGGAAAGAGGGCCCCAAATATCAACATGAAGTAAATCGAAGATGGCAACAAACTTAGTATTACTGTGAGTAAAGGGCAAATGTTTTTGCTTAGTCAAATGGCAAGTGTTACAGGGCTTATGATTGTCATTGTAGGTGACAAAAGGAAATTGAGAGGAAATACATTTGTGTATGTAGGGACTTAAGTGTCCAAGCCTAAGATGCCAAATAGTAGCAGGATCGAATTGGGGAGAAGAGGAGGTGTTGACAGATCCAAATGTGGGAGAGATGGTTTTAGGTGGGGTGGCATCAAGAACATACAATTTGCCAATCCTCCTAGCTGTAAATCCAGTCATCTTGGATTGGGGCAACTGCATAATTTGACAGCAATTAGGAGAAAATTTCACATCATATAAAGTGGAGTCAAAAAGAGTGGTGACAGAAATAATATTGACATGAAATGAAGGAAAGTAATAAACATTGTGAAGGACAAGTGAACCACATAGTAAAACTGAACCAACAGTAGTTGTAGTGACAGAGTCACCATTAGGCATTGTCATAGATTTAGGTGCAATGTGGTATGTGGAAACAAAACTGTCAAAGGTATGGGTGATGTGATCAGTGGCACCTGTGTCAATGATCCACCAGTTATGACACGGAAGATTAGAGGAATTCTTACCAGAGGTATTGGACACAGAATCAACAGTATATACTGAATTAATCGAGGGAAGTGAAGGAGATTGCAAATTAGATTGTTGGAGGAGCTGCAGAATCTGAGTGTATTGTTCTTGAATCGTAGACAAAGCACTTGGACTGGTGTTTGATGTGGATGCGACATCTTGAATCGAATTCATTGTAGAATCAGCAGAATTCCCCACACATGTAGTAGGCTTGCGTTGTTGAAATCCAGGGGGATAGCCATGTTTCAAGAAGCAAGTCTCAATGGTGTGATTGGTGCGGTTGCAATGGGTACAAAGTCTGTTTCCACGACCACCACGGCCACGACCACGACCAGTGTTAGAAGAACGAGAAGGTGCTTGAGAAAGGTGATTCACAGATGATTGAGACTCAATCGAAGAAGCAGAAGGTGAAAGAAGGTCGAATTGACGTTCTTGTTGAAGAACCAGATTAAACACATTATCAAGAGTTGGTAGTGGTTTCATCAGCATAATTTGGGATCGAACATTAGCGTATTGGTCACCAAGGCCCTTCAAGAACTTGATAACTTTATCTTGTTCTTTGAATTTGCGTAAGTCTGAAGCAGCACCACAGGAGCACGGTATAGCGCAAGTACAATCACGAATTGGTCGGAAGTTCTCAATTTCTTCCCAAAGCGTCATCAATTTTGTGAAGAACGAAGAGACATCAAAAGTTCCTTGTTGAAGACGAGCAACACTTTCTTGAATGACAGCAATTCGAAAAATATCTCCCTGAGAAAAACGATTTTCCAAACTTTTCCATACAAGAGAAGCACGATCATACCAGAGAAGAGATTTGGCAATTTCCTCAGAGATCGAGCGTTGAAGCCATGAGAGGACGAGATTGTTGCATCGCAACCAAGGTTCGTATAAAGAATCAGAGGTAGGGGAGGAGAAAGAGTGCCATCAACGAATTTGATCTTGTTCTTGGAGATAAGAGCTAATTTCATTGATCTAGACCAGATCTGGTAGTTCTTGGTATCAAGAACAGGTTGAACAAGAACAAGAGATGGATTTTCATTATGGTGCATGTAGTAAGGATTGGAAGGATTGGTAGCAAAATCAGAGTAAGGAAGCGCCATAAAAAAAACGCTGAAACAACAAGGGAAGAGGATGGGGGGGGGGGGGGGGGGGGGCGAAGGCGCGAAGAAGAAGAAGAAGGCGCGAAGAAGAAAAGCGCGGAAAAGAGAATTCAAACTGATACCATGTTAATTTTGGAATAAACTCATAGTTTTCATTATGATTTGGAATGTACAAAACAACATTATTTATACTGTTAAAGTAACAAACTGTTTAGTAACAAACTAAACAGAATTGTAACAAACTAAAACTAACTGTTTAGTAATAAACTAAACAGTATTATTTTCATCATGTAATACAAACCACCTGACTGGGCATCCGCTCCAAAATAAGACCACCCTACGCTCACAACTCCAAAGACTCTTAACCAAAACAGAATCCATAACTTCCACTTTAGATTCTTGAATGAGAAGAATCTCCACTTTCCCTTGATTGATAATTTTACCAATACGCTTCCTCTTCACCATGCTACCACACCCTCTAATGTTAAGGGTTCTGATAATCATTTCAACTTGTTGGTTTTCTCCTTCGGTCTGTTCCTTGCGCCCTTTTCATCTGTTTCCAGCAGACAAATTTACTATTTAAAGTCTCTCACAGATCCATTTTGAACCTCTCCTAGCTTGGAAATTACACTCCATAACTTCTCTCATACATTCCATTCCACATTATCCCACAGATGAGAATTACATTGCACCACATCAGAATCAGATAGAGAATATAGCAAAAAACAACACCGACTGAGTCCACCTCCGTCACCATCTTGGTACCCTCCTTCTTCCTGCTTGAACTACTACTGTTTTCAGTAGACCCAACGGTATCAAAAAAAATATAATTAGCTTCTGGATCATATATCTTCAAGACCCTTTTCTTGGGCCTAACCTTTTTCCCGGACAAATTCCCACCAAAGTCATAAACACTTTTAGTTTTCCCCGGAAAAATAAGCTTTACAAGAGTATATTTGACCGTAGGAACTGAGAGTTGCTTGTCTTTATTAGGTTGTTTGAAAAAAATATCCACAGTAAAGCTCTTAATTGAATCTTCCAAAGTTGGAGAGATAAACTTGGGGGACCCATATCCATCAAGCTTAACAACTTCTACACGTTTAGCTACTCCCAATGCTTCATCAAAAGAACACGACAAGCCGCTTTATCTTCTGCCATCCTAGGAACCTCACATTTGTCATCAAAAATGCCTTTTACTACTCCATCTGACACAATCCTTTCTTCCTTGTCACCTATCCCAATATCTTCACCCGGTGCAACTGAATTAGTTCCTTTGGAACTAATCCCGTCAAAATCATATTTCTAGTCCCCTCAGAATTCGACGTGGATTATTCCCTGTTAGACACGCCACTCTTCAGATCCAACGCCAATCGAAGTGGTCCACGAGTGCCTTCGACCATCTTCAATCTGAACATAGATCTGTCAACATAAACATTGAAGCGTTCATTCAACACCTCTGTCGATAAAGTTCTCACCATAACTCTAGCAACATCCAAGTAATCTTCCTTCAACGTACTTCTGTCTGCACAAATGTACTTCCCCACCCTTGAAGATAAGAGATTGAAAAACTTAAAATTCCAAGCTTGACTAGGAATACCAAAAAATCTCACCCAAGAAACTCTTTCAGTGTCAACATCTCCCTCCTTACAAGCCCTAATTTCTTAAAACTACTGCCTCCATCATGATTCCCCTTCTTTGATTAAGTAATCAATCTCGCCCTCCTCAACATCCTCCAACAAACAAAGGTTGGCTCTCATCAGAGTTACTTTAATAGCAAAATAGCCCTCAGTTTCGAAATAAGAATGAATACTATATGTAGATCCTGGAACAATCACCTTACCTACAAAATATTTTTCAACCTCACGATATCTTCACCTGAAGACTGATACGTCAGCTCCACCCTTTCTCCCTCCCATCCTGCTTTGTTTGCAACATTCGTCTTCCTTCTGTTAACAACCACCTCCGCAAAGGTTTGAACCCCTCTAAACTTCTGAGCACCGAAACTCTTATAAGGGGAGAAAATTCTTACATGCGACAGGAAGACTTAATGTTTGGTTGGAGGAAGTCAAAACAGACAGCGACGTAATGTTGATGATGCATGGGTCAGATGCTATTCACTACAAGAAAATTAGTGTTTAACGACACAAAAATTGCGACAGTTATGTGATAACTGTCGTAATTGACATATAGAGACAATGTTTACGACGGTTGACACCAACCGTCCCTAATATTTATTTTGCGACGGTATATTTAACCATCATAATATTATTATTACGACGGTAAAACAACCGTCGGCCTCCATTTAACACTTTTAACATTGATTTTTCACCAACAACTAGTCACGACGGTAAAATTAACCGTCCTAAAAGGCATATCACGACGGTAAAGCACCCGTCGCACCCTTAAACCTTTCACGACGGTAAAATTATCCGTCCTAAAATTCATTTCACGACGGTAAAACAACCGTCGCACCCAAAACCTTTAAAAATTCTCATGGGCACGACGGTAAAACACCCGTCGCAATAAAAAAGTTAAAAAGTTAAAAAGTTAAAACACCCAAAACCTTTATTGTAATCTGTAGACGAGGATCCCACCTTACAAGCCAATCGGCGAGGGAACCCATTTCCTCATCCCATGGGTTCAAAAACCCTACATCTTCGATATCAAAACCCGCCCCCATACTTTCTCATCAATATCCGGCACCAAAGATCTTCAAATGGTTAACCTAACTCTCCGAGTCCTCTCTCGTCCCGACACCGCGAAACTCCCTGTCATCGTTCAAAACCTCGGTCTCGAATACGACGAGAAAGTCCTCCCTTCGATCGGTAACGAAGTTCTTCACTTGGTTTGTTGGGATTGCTATGGCTGAGATATGTTCATCTTTCCCGGTTTGTCTCTTCTCATAAAGTTGTATTTAAAAACTTTATCTTTGTATGTTGAAAAATGATAAGTTATGATAGATTTTTTTTTGGCAATATGATGAAGTGGTTTATGTTCTTAGGTATGGTTTTTTGTATGTTCTTGAGTTCTTCTCACTGATATATATTTTGTTTCATTATAAGTAGCCAATTTTCTTGATTTTATTTTTTTTCAATTTTCTTGTATTTGCTTACCTATAAAGCCATTATTTTTATTTTTTCCAGCAAATCCCATCACTTCAGCACTAATAATTGGAGATGGTGGAGATCATGGTGGGAGTCAGCAGCCTCCTAACATTATTTTCACTAAGAGCATTCATGTTGTTGAAGTTGAACGTATCGTTGATCATGCTGCACTACCACCTAAACTGTCAAAGAAGAGAAAGCCTAATGACAGTGGTCCTCGTAAAACACCACCTGCTTGGGACCATTTCACCAAATTACCCGAGTCTGAAGCTGCATATCCAACCGCCACTTGCAACTACTCTAGTAAGAGGTATTTATGTGACCCTAAATCTCATGGAACTACAAACATGCTCGCCCTAAGCTTCAAAGATTAGTGAATAATTTACATAACTAATTTTCAATTTTGATTCAATCTATAACAGACAACTGGTTCTCTGTACTTTTGGGCTGCACATTTAGCCGGTCCAAAATGGGGACCATTTTCTTCATGGTGTTGTGCTTGGCTTGAAACCATAGGTCTTATTGCTGGGATAGGGACTCAGGTAAAAGGACTAATTCGGTTAAACTTCGACTCGGTGTTTTCATAGAATGTGTGCATCGTAACTCATACTTTTCATGGTTGGAATTCGGAAAGGCGTATGCAGGATCACAAACATTGCAGAGTATAATCCTACTCTCGACAGGCACGAATAAAGGCGGAGGGTACTTTGCCCCGAAATGGCTATTCTTATGTATGTACATTGGCCTCACTGTTATTTGGGCAGCATTGAACACATTTACGTTAGAAGTTATCGCCTTCATCGATATAATTTCAATATGGTGGCAGGTACTTTTGCTTCTTTATCTAACTATTCCAACTTACTGATTACAGTGAATGCGTTGTATCTTGACTCTAAAATGTACATCACAATTTACTCATAATCATTTTTACTGTGACAGGTTATTGGTGGAGCAGTGATAGTTATAATGTTACCTCCTTACCTCATAAAGATTTGTTTGTAATGCGCTGTTCTGCATTTTTTGATGCATCTTATTTCATTATATCATTGCAATCGCCAAACGTAGAAACTAAACATGGGACTATTTCTTTAGACATCAATTTTAGCAGATTTTAGATATGATTTATCAAATATCGTTGTGCTTTGGAGATCTATCTTAAAACTGTGCCTTGACATGAAGACATGTTAACTTGTTAGGAAAGCCATGTCAAGCACAGGGCTCTGCATTTCCTGAAAGCAAATAGAGTAGATTTACCACCTTACCTCTTATGCTTAGTATCTACTTCTGTGTGCTGTGGTAAGATTTGGAATGATGAGCCGCTAGCTCTTAAGGTGGGAGGCCACGCCATTTACAAGGCACAGTCTGCTTTTAGCCCGTGGTCATTGAAGAATAGCATGCTAATCTTTAATCAATCGTACTATTACATTGCCCACCCCTATGCTTACTGACACACAAATCTAACCAGTTAAACACTATACAAACAAATCTTCCCTAGCATACACTCTAATCATAGAGCAAATGACCTATGTCTCCAGAAGTTAGCACTGTACACTTGGAACCTATGTTTCTAGTTGAGATTACACTTGAATCTGTAGACGAGGATCCCACCTTACAAGCCAATTTTGTAAGGTCGAGTTAGGAAAAATTCATAGTAATGACAGTTAATAGATATGTGAAGGTATTGTGGGTTCAAGTGTGTGATTAAATGGAGTTTTGGTGATATGTGCTTTTATTTCTTTTTGGTTGTTTTCTATTTAGTTTAACTTGTTGACTTGGGTTTATGTTTCGAGTGTTTGTGACTTCTTCTGTTCGTGCCAACTAATTCAGTAATTAGTGATTTAATGTAACCACATTTTGATTGTTCTCTTGGTAACTAGAAGTATGGGATTCTTGATTCCACTAACTACATAACTTTACTCTACTACTTGAAATTCCTTCTCATCCTATACTATAAGTCCAGTATGCAAGCAACTCATTAGACAGGTTTCCAAAAATGAAAAACGTGTTATTGCCTGATGCAGGAATTATTAGACAACCCAAATGGGGGCATCTTAAAGATTTGCATAAGGCCATAAAACTTTGTGAAGAAGCACTTATAGCTACTGATCCAACAATTTCATCTCCTGGTCCAAATCTAGAGGTAATAAATAATAGGCACTTCGAAGCTTTCATCATAGTTTGCTGGTTTAAGTTTTAAGTTAATCACTGACATGAATGGTTTCGTTATATCTCTTAATATTTACTTTTCAATCTCAGACTTCAGTTTACAAGACAGGATCTGCATGTGTGGCCTTCCTTGCTAACACCGGCACGAACGATGCAACAGTTACCTTCAACGGCAATTCATATCACTTGCCTGGATGGTCTGTGAGCATTTTACCAGATTGCAAGAGTGTTGTTCTAAATACTGCAAAGGTTTGCCTCATCAACTTCCAGTCACACTATATAGTTCAATTTACTAAACTAATTATTAAACTTCTTGTGATTAATCAATCTATTGGTGATATCTTTTCTTCTATTTATTCTTTCCAAAGTAGCATAAACTAAAGTTATTTTTTCGTACGACAGATTAATTCTGCATCTACGATTTCAAGCTTCGCAACTGAATCTGTAAAAGAAGAGGTTGATTCTTTGGGGAGTTCAAGTTCGGGATGGAGTTGGATTAGTGAACCGGTCGGTATTTCAAAGGATGATGCATTCACAAAATCTGGACTTCTTGAACAAATAAACACGACTGCAGATAGAAGTGACTACCTGTGGTATTCATTAAGGTATAAGGAATTTCAAGGTTGAAATAGCTTTATCTTGACGATTGTTTTTCCGTGCCCATGTTAACCTTTTTCAAATTGTTTTGAAGCATTGATGTTGAAGATACTGCCGGTGCTCAACCTGTTCTTCACATTGAATCCCTTGGTCACGCCCTTCATGCTTTTATAAATGGGAAACTTGCAGGTATCTTTCTTTACTTCAATGACGTGTTTCACGAATCATGTAATGAAATTTCGATACGTTAATACCGAGAACTTTTTCAGGGAGTGGAGTAGGAAACAGCGGAAACGCTAAGGTCAAGGTGGACATCCCTATTACACTTGTATCTGGAAAGAACAAAATTGATCTCCTGAGTTTAACAGTGGGACTACAGGTTCGTATTTTCTGATTATAAAGTACAAAATATGCATCTACGTGTTCATTTCTCAGCTAATGTGAATTTTATGTGCCACAGAACTATGGAGCTTTTTACGACCTAGTGGGTGCGGGGATCACTGGTCCAGTAACATTGAAAGGTTTGAGAAATGGAAATACTGTTGATCTCTCCTCACAGCAATGGACATACCAGGTTAGTCTTGGCTTAACTTAAGGCCTGTTTTTGTTTCTCCTTCTGAGTTTCTTTAATTAAGTCATAGATTACATGTCTGTATTTTTGTGAATGCAGATTGGTCTTCAAGGTGAAGATTTAGGTTTGTCTAGTGGAAGTGTTGGACAGTGGAATTCACAATCTAACTTACCTACAAATCAACCTTTGACTTGGTACAAGGTAATCTTAATAAGAATAGAGCATTTGTTAAAATTCTCATGTTTTTCTTCAGCTGACTAATCTCAATGTGTTATATTAGACGAACTTCATTGCTCCTTCTGGAAGTAACCCAGTTGCAATTGATTTCACGGGGCTGGGAAAAGGAGAAGCCTGGGTGAATGGACAGAGCATTGGACGATACTGGCCAACATACGTCGCTCCAACTTCTGGCTGTACTGACTCATGCAATTATAGAGGATCCTATTCTTCATCGAAATGTCTCATGTATTTTTGGCATAATGATACTTATTATTATAAGATTAGGAATTGATATATTTTGGGTTTTTTGTACTACTTGACATGATTATGGAACTCGCATTTTACATGATTATGGAACACACATTTTTTTGGATATTATAATGCTTATTTGATGTTAAATATTTTTTATTGAAATTATTTTTACTATATTACAAAGTGATAGAAAATAAAACAAAAAATAATACTATAAATAAATATATTAAAGAAGAAATAATTTAAAGAAAAAAATAACACAAAAAAAAACTATATTTAAAATTTTTTACATAGATAATAATTTAAATAAAAAATATATATAATAGAAAAAAAAAAAATCAAGACATAAACAAAAGTCATGGCGACAGTACCGAACCGTCGTAATCAACAAAAGTCATGACGGTATCGAACCGTCGCCAAAAACAATTTAATCAATTTCAAAAGATATTCACGACAGTATCGAACCGTCGCCATCAATAATTAAAAGAAACTCAAAAGATAGTCACGACGGTATCAACCCGTCGTAAACTTGAACGACAGTTTTTGTAACCGTCGCGAAATAGGTTGGGGACACACACTTCTGCGACGGTAAAGCAACCGTCGTGGAAAGCAAATTGCGACGGTTTTAACCGTCGTAATCTACAAAAATACCTGTCGCAATCTGCCAATTTTCTTGTAGTGATTGTTTTAACAGTTGTAATTTCTTAGACGAAATATCGTGTTTTTTTTCTTGTACGCGCAATGTTTATTGTAGCAAATACTGTTAACGAA